TGTAGTTGTGGTGTAATGTAATTAGTGTAGTGTAGTTGCAGTCATATAGTTGTAGATGTAGTTGTTTTGTAGTTGTAGTTGTTGCAGTTGTAGTTGTTGTTGTAGTTGTAGCTGTAGTTGTTGTGTGGTTGTAGTTGTTGTGTAGTGTAGGTGTAGTGTAGGTGTTGTAGTAGTAGTAGTTGTTGTTGTTGTTGTTGTTGTAGTTGTTGTTGTTGTTGCTGTAGTAGTAGTAGTAGTAGTAGTTGTTGTTGTTGTTGTTGTAGCTGTAGTTGTTGTAGTTGTAGTTCTAGTTGTAGTTGTTGTGTAGTTGTAGATGTAGATGTAGTTGTTGTTGTTGTTGCTGTTGTTGTAGTTCTAGTTGTAGTTGTCGTGTAGTTGTTGTAGTTGTAGTTGTTGTAGTTGTTGTTGTGTTGTTGTTGTTGTTGTTGTTGTTGTGGTTGTGGTTGGTGTTGTTGTTGTTGTTGTTGCTGTTGCTGTTGCTGTTGTTGTCGTCGAAGTTAGGGTAGTTAAGTTAGTGAAGTTAGTTAAGTTAGTCAAGTTAGTTAAGTTAATCAATGTCTACTTTTTCGACATCTTCACGTCAAAAAAGGCTCAAAACCCTGAGTTTTTTACACTTTTGACTTCGAAATGTGCTTCGCGCCACAACGGCGTGCACTTTTTCGACACTTTTTCGACATCTCAACTTCCAAAAGTGGTCCGAGACCGCCAGTTTTTAACACTTTTGACTTGGAAATGTGCTTCGCGCCACAACGGCGTGCACTTTTTCGACATCTCAACTTCCAAAAGCAACTTCCAAAAGTGTCCGAGACCGCCAGTTTTAACGCTTTTGACTGGAAATGTGCTCGCGCCACAACGGCGTGCACTTTTCGACATCCAACTTCCAAAAGTGGTCCGAAACCTCAGTTTTTACATTTTGACTTGGAAATGTGCTCGCGCCACAACGGCGTGCACTTTTTCGACATCTCAACTTCCAAAAGTGGTCCGAACGCTGGTGTGTTTTGTACATTTTGACTTGGAAATGTGCTTCGCGCCACAACGGCGTGCACTTTTTCGACATCTCAACTTCCAAAAGTGGTCCGAAACTGGGTGTTTTGTACATTTTGACTTGGAAATGTGCTTCGCGCCACAACGGCGTGCACTTTTTCGACATCTCAACTTCCAAAAGTGGTCCGAACCCCTAGTGTTTTGTACCTTTTGACTTGGAAATGTGCTTCGCGCCACAACGGCGTGCAATTTTTCATCGCTCCTGTGACCAGCTGGCTCCGCACCCGCCGCTTTAGCGAGCCTACTTTTCGACCCTCCTGAGCCACAAATCATTGGAGAAACACAGTGTTTCGCGACTTTCCTACCTTTTCGCGCATCTGTATCTTCTTTCTTCTGACTCTTTCTCTTCTCATCTTCTCTCTTCTAATCTTCCTCTTCTCTCTGCCTCTCCCCTACTCTGCTTTTCATCTGTCCATATTGTCGGAAGTTTGACTTCTAAACTTCCTTCGATTAGTTCACTGAAAAAGCACCTTGAAACCAATGGACCAAAACCCATGGAATCTTCTTAACTGTCCACAGAAAGTGCTAGCTTGGACTTGGTATTTGATAGGTTTTGATCTATCCGCATAGTACAAGTTTTAGTTGGCGATATAATTGATAAACCCACGATGAATCATGGTGAATGGATGATGGTTGGTGGATGCACGGGGCATGAACCGCAAGATTGCTGGAGAGAGCAAAGCAGCGGTTTCAGTCTCAGTAGCCTCGCAGACTCACAGATCAACCGTTTTTTTTTGGGGGTCATGGTAGGGCGGCCCCATTCCTATACCATGGGGGCGCCCTATCATTATACCCAGCGCCATCAGTCCCATTGGGCGTGAAAAAGCTCAACCTGCTTAGCCTTGGATCCGACGGAAAACGGACAGGTTGCCATTTTGCCTACGGGGGACATGGAGGCTCAGGTTACTCCCGAGATGCACGAAATGATGCACATGTGGGGTCAATGGTGGTGAAATATCACTAGAAATTGAGTTTGACCTATTTTGGATGATCAAATTTATCAAGGATTTGTTTTTTTTGCACCAAACACGGGGGTTACTAACCAACCAGAATGGGTGGAAACCTATGCCTTTTCTGATCTATTTTTGTCCATAGATCGGGGGTCTACGGGAAAGATGTTGATACACCATGGATTTGTTTGACCAAGTCTTGGAGAAGCACCGCATGCGCTTGCCATTTTCTATAGCTGATTTTCAGAAAGATTTTCTATCCATCTCCAGGGTTTATGGATGTTTATGTATGTTTATGGTAGATAGATCGAACTAGTTACCTGTTGGTTTATAAACCAACAAGTATTTCACCTGCGGGAAACCACGGACACCAGTGGCAGGTGGCTACTATGAGCCCCAGGCTGTGGGTCAAGATTTTGCTGATCCCAAAATTGGGGTAGGTTGGAGAATTTGATCCAACAAGAAACTTTTAGGGCTTTTGAAAACCAACAAGTATATATATATATCTATATTTGGAGAATTTGTGCTTCACAATATCTTTTCGAAGTTGTTGATTGCCTAAAAGTTTGCACTTTGTCAGCACGAAATCCCATCGGGAAACTTTCTCCGGCTCGATTTTCCCAGGCATGGCAGGGAGCTGGCAACTACTCTGAGGATCAGGCGCTTTGAACACTGGCAGCCTGTGCAAACTTGTTGAATCCTGCAGGAAGTTGGTGGAAGATGGCTACTTGGAAGTGCAGTTCCAGCTATAAATGGATATAAAATGGGCTAACGCCCTGGTGCCGCCGACCCCCTTTAAAGGGGGTGGGTCAGGCAGTACCAGAGGGTAAATCACCATCAATCATCAAAGAAGAAAGACGAAACAGGGAAGGCCGAAGAAAAGCATAAAGCCTTGAAAGCAGGTAAAAGGCAGGAAGGCAACAAGGCCAGCAAGGAGAAGACCTTGCCGGCAAATACACGACACGCAACGCAGAGAGGACAGAGTTTCCAATATGTCTGTCCTGCTTGCCATCAGTCAGTGATCAGCAGCATACGCACAGGGCAAGTAGGTCATCGCCGGACATGCGGGAACCAATTCCAAGTGCAAGACGGTGTTGTGGCAGAGAAATCTGTTGTTTACACATGTCCATTTTGCAAGGGCCTTGTGAACAGCAATGTGAAGACAGGGAAAATCAACCATCGGGGTGTCTGTGGGTACAAATTTTCGGTACGGGACGGCGTTGTCGCAAAGAAAAGTTTTGTTTACCAGTGCCCATTTTGCAATGGACTTGTGAACAGCAACGTGAAGACAGGGCGAATCGACCATCGATCTGTGTGCAACAATCAATTTTACGTCAAGGACGGTGAAGTCAGCAAGCAGACACGGCGTCATGCGCACAGTTGCCCGGTCTGCTCTACTGTTGTTTGGTCATCGCTGTCATGTGGCCGCATTGCTGTCAAGCATGACATGCCATCGGGAAAACCATGTCACAACAAGCAGTGGCACGTTCCCGAGAAAAAGACAACGAAAACAAAAAAGAAATAAGAGCCTCCTTAAAAGGACACTGCCAGGGCCTCAGGGACTTGTTGGAGCTGCAGGAAAGGTCTGCCGCGGCCTAAGTGGCGCCTGGGAGCTGCAGGGGAGGGTTTGTGGAGTTTTGGCGAGTTTTGAAGGCTGGCAAACGGCAGCCTGGGACCTCCGTAAAAGGACACTGCCACGGCCTCAGGGACTTGTTGGAGCTGCAGGAAAGGTCTGCCGCGGCCTGAGTGGCGCCTGGGAGCTGCAGGGGAGGGTTTGGGGAGTTTTGAAGGCTGGCAAACGGCAGCCTTGAACGTCCATAAAAAGACACTGCCACGGCCTCAGGGACTTGTTGGAGCTGCAGGAAAGGTCTGCCGCGGCCTGAGTGGCGCCTGGGAGCTGCAGGGGAGGGTTTGGGGAGTTTTGAGGGCTGGCAAACGGCAGCCTTGAACGTCCATAAAAAGACGCTGCCACGGCCTCAGGGACTTGTGAGAGCTGCAGGAAAGGTCTGCCGCGGCCTGAGTGGCGCCTGGGAGCTGCAGGGGAGGGTTTGGGGAGTTTTGGCGAGTTTTGAAGGCTGGCAAACCAGCCTTGAACCTCCAGGAAAGGTCTGCCGCGGCCTGAGTTGCGCCTGGGAGCTGCAGGGGAGGGTTTGGGTAGTTTTGGCGAGTTTTGAAGGCTGGCAAACGGCAGCCTTGAACCTCTTTACTGCCACGGCCTCAGGGACTTGTTGGAACTGCACAGGGTCTGCCGCGGCCTGTTGCGTTTCGCCGTAGAAACAGAGATTGCTGTGGCATGAGTGGCTCGTGGGAAGTGCACAGAAATTGCTGTGGCCTGAGTGGCTCCTGGGCGGTGAACAGAGGGTGCTATGGCCTGGGTGGCTCGTGGAAAGTGCAAAGCATTGGGAACGAAAAAAAGTTCCACACCTGCGGTGGTCCCAGGCGCCGCCCCTGCCTTGGCTAAGGCAGGGGTCGGCGTATATATATATATACATATGGATATACATGTATGTATATATATATGTATATATATGTATATATATATGTATATATATATATGTATATATGTATATATATATATATATATGTATATATACATATGGATATATATATATGTATGTATGTATGTATGTATATATATATGTGTATATGTATATATATGCGCATGTGTATATATATATACACGGAATGCTATGACCTAGTTATACCAATGGATCCAACTCAACGGCCGGCACAGAAAAGTCTGGTTTTCATCAAGGTAGCCGCCATACTCAAAAGGATCTTGGGAGATTCGATGAGGCTTCAATCAAAAAGCTTTATGAAAAAAGGCCAGCAACGCGGCATGAACTGCAATGGAACTTGAGATATCACAACTAGTTGGCTTATATCACCATTTTTCTACAACAACTACAGTGATATTTTTTCCACAAGCTATAGTTAATCATAGATAACCATAGTGAACCTTAATTTTCACCTGCACCTTATCCACACTAACAACTCGTTTCACCTTCTTTTCAAGCGTCGTTTCTGCCATGGCCAGCAATCACAAGTTGGTCTGCGCCCGAGCAGCGCGGCAACAGTTTGGTGGGGCCTTCCAACAAGCTGTGAGAGATTATCGCTGGGCTAAGCTGGCAGCAGCTACCTTGTAACTTTGCTGATGAAATATTCTGGGGACAAATTTACGGGGCCCCAAGGGGAAATGGGAAATGGGAAATCCACCAACACAAAAAAGGACACCTTTTACAGGAAAATTTTTGGCAGATTTTATGGGACAACATCTTCAGCGAAAATTTCATCTATCCCTCATCCATCCGCACAGGAAAGGGTTGGACGCTTATCTTCCGGACGGCTTGTCCTTCCTACCACTCTCCTACCTCTATGATGATGAAGTGGCGCGCTTTGCCTGGGAAGGGGCAGTGATGAAGGACCTGGGAAGCTGGGCCAGGTGCTATCGAAATCATCTGGTGAACTACCTGTTTATTTGCTGGGGGTGTTGAGCATTTCTTTGTATGTCTTGTGCATTTTTTTCCATGATCACTTTTTTCAGATATCATTCTTTCGAAGCTCCCTATCCCAAGGTTTGTCATCATGATCCTCATCAAAATGGCAACTTAGTTGACTTGGACTGTGCCAATTTTCAAGCATAGCCAAATATCAAATTATGTTGGTTGTATATCTGCATATCCACATGATCTTCATATGCTCATTTTGACAAAACATCAGGGTCCTCAGTGCAGTTGAGGTTTATAAATGGGTATAAATATGGTTGTAAACATTGTAAACCCTCATAAGTTGGGATATAAGCCTCACAACTATGGTGAAACCTATCCACTTATAACTGGAATGTCAACTGCCAAGGCATAGCCAGCCAAGATCTCACCAACTGCCAGGAGAATCAGGATGCCAGCACGCGGCCCAGCAGTTTCCGAGTCTTGGCACGCACTCGGCCTCTGCAGCTCTCAGAGGTGGACGAAAAGCTCTATGAATCGCTGAGCTCCGAGGGAGGAAATCACTCCATCATCGTGCATGATGGCCGAGTGCATCGTGATGGAAGAACCATCTACACCAACCATTCCAGGCTTGGATTTTTTTGTTTTTTTAATAATTTGGACTTGACATTTGTTCACTGTTTTTTCTGAAAATATCTTTGATTCGAAGGCATTTTTGAATTTCGACCAGATATTTGGGATGACCCCAAAAAAGGCAACATATTCATCCATTCTTTTTGGAATCAATTGGGATGAATTCCTAATAGCAACCAGATATGTGGTATTCCAGGTTCTGTCTGGATGGCGTCTTTCCGCAAGATGCGAGCAATCTGCAAGTGTATCAGGCAGCGGCTGATCGGGGGTTTACTGTAGTCTTCTATGGGTATAAACCATCCATTCCTCAGAAGCCATGGTTCAGTATTGAAGCGGCCCATCAAAAGGTTTCTTCTCATCGGTGGGAGGGGACTATGGGACTATGACTATCCATATCTTATTGGTTGAACCCGCCACTTGTGCTGCGAGATGGGATCATATGGATTGAAACAACCTGGCCACCATCCCATCCAATCCATTTGAGCAGTAAAGCCGCAGTTGATTGACGATGACAGGGGATTCTACTACCCTTTCTACAATGAAATTTCTCACAACCAGCTGGGAATCCCCATTCCAATCATATCAATCATTAAATGTCGAGAATTTCCCATAGAGGTTTGGTACTGTTATGACACTACCCTTATTGGTTGATTATCGATATTTGTTGTGGGTTCTACGATTATACTATACACAGCAGACCTGGTCCAAAATCAGGACTTTGAACTGACATATCAATTCGGAAGATTTGCAAAAAGAAGATGTTAATGTTGAATAGAGTTGTTAATGTTCATATTGCTCAGTGTCAGTCGTCGGTCCATATATTGTTGGATAGGCATATCTATTCAACAGAAAATCCCCAAAGCAGCCATAGTTCGATGATTTTCCCACCAATCATTCACATCTCCATAACCAGTGCGTGAATTTTTCCCATGTTTTTTTTTAGGGCTTTTCCCAGGGTTATCCCCATGAAATCCATGGCTTTTCTCCAAGTTTTAGTGTGGCAGGAAGCGGCGCAGCCTCTACTGCGATCGGCTCTGCAAGGTGAACGCTCCACGCTGATCTTCTTCGGCCAGACGGGCACCGGGAAGACTTACACTGCACGAGGAGTGCTGGAGGCGGAAGTGGTGAAGCAACATAGGGATGGCGATGGCGGGATTTGATAGGGGGAATACTAGTGAGATTATCTGGGATAATAGTTGGGAGAATTCTGATAATACTTGTTGGCTTTCATGTAGGGAACCGTAATGATGACACTTTATCATAGTTTCAAATAGAAGGTCTGATGTCAGACCGCTCAACTGCTCACCTCGTGCATGCATGTCAGTCAGTGGCATTAGATACCGGCATGTTCTTATCAATGTGACAAACCGTCGTCATTCATGTTCTTATCAGTGTGACTGCTGCATTGCAAACTTGACAACTTGAGTTTCATGTTATTTGATTTTTGGAAACGGAGTGTTGTCGTTGATGCAGTTTGTGAACCTTTAATGCTATACCAATGCCACTCCAGAAATCGGCTCAGCTTTTTGATCGATTGCCAATCAGGATTGCTGCAAGCTATTGTAGGTAAATGATATTTACAAGGAGGGAAAATCGGCAATTTTGGCTTTTGGGGGTGTTTAGAGCAACCCTGATGGTTGGGAGAATAACTGGAAGAATACTTAGGATGATCTTGGGATAATACTTGGGATACAATTGCGATAATAATTTGGATAACAACTGGGATGATCATTGGGATGATCATTGGGATGATGATGATGATGATGAATTACACCCTTCAGTGTCATCAAACATGGTGGGTTGCTGGGAAATCCCGACACTATTTATGGAGGTTATAGCTTGGAAAATCATTGCACCACCTTTTCAGTCTTGGTATTAAGAATGGACTTTGGGGATACAATGTTCATTAACAGTCAATTAAGAGTGGATTAATTGGGCAGTTAACAGTGGATTTGATTACATCATGTCAATTTTCACTACATGAATGTCAATTAACAGTGAATTTGACTACTGAGACTACTGCGATTTCCGGATTTTGGACTTCCAGCAAAATGTGAAATCTTAGGCCCGCAGATAGAGTTGCAGCCATTCCCAACTCGGCTGGTTTCTATCTGCGCCAGCACTCAGAAGCATGTGACAATTGACACGCCTGTTTCAGTGATCATTATGTGGATCTGGGGTGCAGTTTTTTCTTATGACATGATCTACCCTCTGGTAATTTAACATAGCTATTGAAAATGACCATTTATAGTTGATTTTCCCATTAAAGATGGTGATTTTCCATATCACAATTGAGCGGCAGGAGGGGCAAGGGTTCTCTTCAAATCGCATGAACCCTCGACTGATTTGGGGGCCAAGTCCATCCACGGAAGCCACCGAGCAGGTCATGACAGAAGAAATCTTCCAAAACACGCAGGACGCCAGTGGCGCGTCTTGTTTTGATGTTTGATGATGCTTGATGGTCAACATTTGCCATTTTTGCTTCTGGCTTGGTGACGTTCCCATGAATCATGGGCTATTTTTGTGTCAGTTTCATTGGTGAAGTATCTCCATTTCGTTGCAATGGATCCCAGTTGGATTGATTCAAACTCGCGTGGTTTTTGGTCGATCGCCAGTTTCATTGGCTACTTGATTACATAATATTACATACCGTATATACATGCACTGCATTCATGTATGTAACATACACAAAAAGATAGTATGTGCATCTATATACATCCACAAACTAATAACGAAGATCTAAAGAAGTACAAGGTGAGGCCCCTAAATGGCGAAGTTGACGCACAGTTGACTTGGTGAACTACGGTTTACAGGGAATAGTTCACTATCATTCATGGGCTCAAAAAAACCAAGAAACATCACAAAGTAATCAGCTCAATTCATCCATGGTGAAATCTTGGTGAAATCACCTGGTTTTCCTCTGGTTTTCCTATGGAAATTCTGCCCTTCCAAGTCACCGCAGCCTCCAGGAGGTGACGTTGTGCTGCTACGAGATGGCCGGGACGCGCGGTGGCCGCGAGGCCTTCTTCGACCTGCTGGCGGATCGGGCGCAGGTGAAGTGTCTCACGGGGGAGGATGGGAACGTGCACGTGCGCGGGGCCAAGCAGGCGATGATCTGATTGGGATGGTGATGATGGCGATGGTGGGTGGTCAAAATTAAATACTCCAATAATCTCCAATAATTAGATGGTACTAAACACATACAAAAATCTGTGGTTGCATAGCGTTTAAGTGATACTTGGGGGGTATGATAATAGATGTATCATGGGGATAGAATAGATGTGGCTGATGGGGATATATATATACATATATATATATCATGAATAGAATGAATGTGATGGATATCATGGATATGACGGGTAGATAGAATCGGATAGAATGGATCAACCAAGCATTTTAAGGCGATTGAACGGATCTTGATGGGGTAAACAACATTAAACAACCACCTCAAGTTGAAAAGAATTATGGAACAAAACATACTTTGCCGTAGTTGTGTGTTCCAGTTGGGCAGTGGCTAAAAGCTCTGGTAGCCTTCTAGTTATAGATGGATGCACATCCAAGTGGTGGTTTAAACTTGGGGTATCTACCACTAGACACACAAACGGTTTTTTGGTTGACCATGCCAAAATGGGGTCATCTTGAATTAAGCACAAAAAAAAGGAGGTGGCCGATATACACCACTTATCAGAATAGGCAGCATGTATCGTATCCTGCCCAAAAAAAACAAGAATTGCTTGCATTTCCAAGATTTTGCCGTGATGTCATCATGGCTATGATATCCCTGAATTGGATTGACAGGAACATTGACAGAACCCCCCTCTCTATGGGAACATGAGCATGTGCAACAACTGTGAAACAAACACAAAATGCAGCAACTTTCACTGTGGGAAAGAAAACATGCAATCCAAAAAAAAACAACAACCCATTTGCAAAATGTTGACCATTGCAGAAAATGATGCAAACTAGCAAATTTGAGTTTGGATTTGCCCCCTCAAACAGATTAAAACCGATCTAAAATTAAAATTTATACTTTAGCACTAGTTTTTGGGAGGTTTTTTTTTTTTGCGACGGTAACATTTTTTTTTTTAACAGTAGCAACCTTACGAGATAGTCTGTTTTTTTTTTTTCGACAGCCTCCACGGAGAAGGGTTGTTTGCAAGGGTTCGGCGAGGGTTTTTTGCGACGGTGTCCCGCGACGAGGTAGTGGTAGCAATGGCGCAACATTGTCGGTAGTGGTTCTTCCTGGGTTGCTTTTGCCAACACAGCTGCAGTCCCTCCACTGAACCGCAGCCTTGCCTTGAAGGTTTTGCAAACTCTATGGTGCCCAGAGACTTTGAGTGCTCGAAGTTTAGCGGCTTTATTCAGTGGTGGTAGCAACTTGTGTTTGCAAGCCTTGAAATTTCACCTTGGAGACATCATTTGCTTGAGAGTGAACCCGGCTTCAGTTCTTTGCTCTTGCCCAGCTGCGGCTATGCATGCGCAGTGTGAACATTCGACTTTCCTTCGCAGCCTGGCGCTCCCGAATCTTCCCCAGCCGCCCGTGATTCTGACCGATCTGCCCATGAGCCGCAAATGTTCTGGCCGCCCAAACAACTCTGGCGCCCCTCCGCGCAAGAGACGGCTTGACGCGGCAACACGTCGATAGTTGCTGCAAACAGGTCCTGCAGTCAAAGATGGATCGACAATATTGCACAGACACAGTGCAGCTCAACATTCTGCTCCAGAGAGTGACAAATGCCACGGAACAGCGAGTTCCAACAAAAAATGCCGCTGCTAGCAGAGTGCAACACTGCTTTGGGTTAATACTTGTATCATCTTGTTTGCGACCATTAGTCCAAGTGGCGCTGCCAGGTCTGTCCCATCTTTGCAGGCGCCCCGGCAATGTGTTGCGTCTCCCTTGTTTTTACTCTTCGTTCCTCTGCTGTCCTCCTTTGCATCGTCCGGGCAGGGTGCGATGCCTACATACGCACATGGTTTTTCTTCTCTGCATAGCGCCCGCCTTGCCGTGGCAGAAAAGCTCAGTACCACCTCGAGTGGGAAGCCAAGAGGCGCTCATAGACCTTGACTTGTTTGTGTGCTGTTGTGGAAGAGATGGTGTTGCAGATGTTGTGCACGAGGTGTGGTGTTGCGCAGCTGCGCGTGGTGCTGCGTCTAAAATAGTTGCGGCGGGTCGAGATGGCAAAAAACGCTGCGCCTCCTTTCGCAGATCCAGGTACTAGTTCTACCAGCTGGTAGTACTAGTAGGTGGTAGTGGTAGCAGTGGTAGCAGTGGTTTGGCGCAGAGTATCTTTTCCGAAGTTCCTTACTTCTCCGAAGGCAAGTGTCCCCACCGCTGAGTTGCCAGCAAAACGGCATAGATAAATTCATTTGGCTCGTGTTTTCTGGAGAGGGACCTATGTATGTCAACGCAGACGCCATTGGAGAGACTGTTGTTGCCAGACGGGTGTTGAATATTTATTATGACAAATCCTTCGCCGAAATCCTTCTTCGAGAGATCGTATTGCATCATTCCAACGAGCCTTGGCCTTTGCTTAGCGTGCGGGTTTGTCAGCTGTCAAGTCCTTTTGTGATTTGAACAAGTTTGTTTGTTCATGTTGAGTTGTTAACTTTTATGGGAGTGGCAAATCAAGGTTGCAAGCATCTGGCCTCGCCTCCACTTGCGTGCCCTAGAGTCAGGGAACGTGCTCGGCATGCTTTACCCTTCCCATGCCCGTCACTGGTGGCCTCTCATCGAAGACGTGTTCATGTCCAATCATGTGAAGGAAATCGGTGAGAACATCTTTAAGAGTTTGGAACGCAATGGGGAGTTCCTTTCTCTTTCAGTTGATGCCACGTTGAAGGTGTGCATGACCATCCAGGGTCAAGCCAGCCACCGAGCACCGGCCGCTGTTCGCAATGCTGCCTGCTTTGACGATGAGAGTTCTTTGCGACGTGTGTTGACAATCAGGGGCCGCACAGGTGCTGTCGTTGGCATGGTCCCCATCTCGCATGAAGATGCCAACAGAGTCGCTGCAACATTCACCAGCCACCTCTCACCCATCGCTCTGGCTCAGGTGAAGTTTGTTGCAAGCGACAGTCCATCTTTGAAACTGTTCCGGGAGATCAAAGCCGTTTGCAGGCATCTCCAATGCATTTCATTGGATCCAGTGCACCTGGCCATCGTGTACGAATACGCCCAGTGGGGCAAGAAATCTGCGGGCTCCAGGGTGCTCAGGCATCTTCTGAAAAAATGCGGTCAGCAAGACCTGTCCAAAAGCATGGATTCTTGGGGCCCATTTTTTTCCGGCTTGAGGCCCGCAGCCCTGAGCAGGGAAGAAGAGCAGGCCCGACAAAAAAATTTGGACGGTAGCATGAGTCAAGCCAGGGCCAAACGCATCCTAGAGGCATTAGATGCAAATACACCACTCCTTTCCCGAATCACATTCGTGGAAACGCTCGCAGCCATCTGCACTTGTTTCCCTAATGAAGTGAGCCGAAGAGTCACCGGTACCAACAAAGAAGTCCGGAAAATTCTGTGGGCAGCGGCAGCACCGGATCGTATGGAATGGTTGTTCAACAACCTGCGAGTCCGGCATGCCATGACTCCGGCCCAGAGAGCTTTGTTACCAAGCGGAACCTCTTCGAATGAAGCACTACATGCTGAAATTAATGCGTGGTCAAGGACAAATCATGCGCTGCATCAAAGCACTCTGCGATTGAAACTTCAAATCATGCAATTCGGCAAGCTGGTGGCACATCACGCTGCCACCTGCTTCCCTACAATCAAGCAGTGCAGCGAATCAGTGCTGCTGGCGCGGTGCTTGGCTTCGGAGGATTGGCCGGATGAGAAGTGGAAAGCATGCTGCAAAGGCACTGAGAAGGCACATCTTCCTTTGCACAAGGACAGAGTGCAGGAGGCGGCGCAGGTCCGGCAGTGGAATGCTGCCAATGTGATGAAGGTACGGAAACACCATGTCAAAAAACGCACGGTTCACACTGTGAGGCGGCACCGCTCGATTCGTTCAGCTGGTGTTAAGATTGCACCAAAGCGAAATCCAATGCGAGCATAGCATGTCACAGTATCAGCTATGGGAAAGGAAACGCAAGTCAAACCCAAACCGTTCAGAACTTGCACTTTGACTGCAGCTGCATCAACATTAAAAACGGAGTATACAGAAGATGATAAGTACTGATGATACTGTGTCGCTGCAAGCTCATCTGGCCAAGTATTGTGAACCTTCCGCTTCGGTAGAAAAAGAATACTTTTGCTTGGCTGCTTGCGTGCGAAGTGATTGCGAAATTTGTGTCGGCAGTTTGAATGGACGGGTGGTGACGTGTAACTTCGGAGTTTGTCGGATTGCACATGCCAAGATGCCAGCTTAGTTTGATCATGTGAGCCAGGCCGCTGAAGCTTCTCTAACATTCTTCGCAAGCTGCAGAGGCCACAGTGCATTTGAAAGGTTTTGGGTGTTTCAAAACCCCATTAACCGTATGCTTTAATGTGCTAGCTGTGCCCCCAGTTGGTGGAACAGCTGGGTAACTAGTGGCGCATCTTTGAGTTGCTTGGACTGGTAGTAGTGGTAGTAGTGGTAGTAGTAGTAGTAGTCGTCGTCGTCGTAGTAGTTGTAGTTGTATTTGTAGCTGTAGTTGTAGTTGTAGTCGTAGTCGGAGTCGCAGTCGTAGTAGTAGTAGTAGTCGTCGTCGTCGTAGTCGTAGTCGTAGTAGTAGTAGCAGTAGCAGTAGCAGTAGCAGTAGCAGTAGCAGTAGCAGTAGTAGCAGTAGTAGCAGTAGTAGCAGTAGTAGTAGTAGTAGTACTAGTACTAGTTCTAGTTCTAGTTCTAGTACTAGTACTAGTACTAGCCGTCGTTGTCGCAATGCCTGTCTCTCCACTTCCCGTCGCAAAAAACTTTCACAATTGGTTCACCAACGCCAAAAACCTCCCTAGCCGTCTCAAAAAAACCCTCTGAACCGTGGCAATAAACCCTCTGGAATTCCCCGTCGCAAAAAACCCCTCTAGCATTGCACCGTCGCAAAAAACCCCTGGTACCGTCGCAAAAAACCCGAAGCCCACGACTAGTTTTTGACTTGGATTTTATAGATAAACCATTTCACCACTGTTTTTTCTCAGAAAATCCAAGATTCCCCGGACATTTTCTGGCCAGGTTTTGTGCCGCAGTGCCCAAGACCTGGAGGAGGCCATGGCCAAGGCCTTCGAATGGCGGTCCTCGGAGTGCACCGAACGCAACGAGGCCGGGACCGGGACCGGGCGCGGCAACGGATCGATGGTTTGCACATCTCGTTTTTTGGGTTATTTGGATAACTTAAATCACTTAAATCCACCATGACAAGCGATGATTTCAAAGGGTTTAAATTATACTCTCTCTAAAAATATATATATATATAGAGATCGTTTTGTTGTTGATATTTGAGTGGGAGGAACCAGAACTCAAATTCTGCAAAGCACATACACCAGATGGGTCTTGAAGCCAAGAAACACATGGTTTCAGTGGCCCAATGTTTGGGGGATGAGTCAGGCCCCCTATGACTTTCCGAATCAGATCCCAAAGGTGAACTGATAGCCGGAAATTGGGATGGGAAGATGAAGGTTCTTTGAAAACCCAAAAATGGTTCAGGTCTTGGTGTTTTCCCCATGAACTATGGGGATATGGTTGAATACCCTATATATATATAATGTATGTATATATATAATATAATATTATATATATAATATATATATAACATAATTTAATATATAATATATATATAATATATATAATAATATATATATATATATAATATCTATATATATATAATATAATATATAATATATAATACATATTTTTTACATGATATTATATGTAATAAATGATATATAATATATAATTATAATATATAATATTTAATATGTAATATGTAATATGTAATATATGATATATGATATATAATATAATATATAATATATAATATATAATATATAACATATAATTTAATAATATATATATATAATAATATATATAATAATAAATAAATATATATATATATATAATAATATATATAATAATAAATAAATATATATATATAATAATATATATATAATATAACATATAATATATATATATAAATAAATGTATGGTTCAATATACCGCAGAGCACCCAGATTGGATCGAGGAAAACCCCCAATTTTGGGACGTGAACTGCAGCGCATGAGGGTTTTGGTCCATTTCATTAAAAGGATAACACATGTTCCGGCCCTGGGAGGGATTCTGAGCATTTGGGCCCAGTTCATCACTGTTTGCCAAGCGGTTTTTGTGCCACCTAAAGGCGCCTATCTTCAACAGGGGTCCCTATTCCAGCCACAATGGTATCAAATAGACCAACAAGCAGCGCAAATCTCCAGCCGTTGCAGCTTTCACGCCCCATCGTGCAAGGTGGTGCTCCCCAGTTATGAGTTATTCTTTATTCCCACCCAACTATAGTGATACATCTGCCATAAATCCGACACATTCTCCACTTTTTAACCTTAGGATCTGTGGCCCATGAGGCATCTTCCAGGTCGCACTGCATCTTGGAGTTGCACTTTCCTTCCGGTTCCCTCGGTTCCGTCCCGGGGCTGCTGCGCATTGTGGACCTGGCCGGCTCGGAGAGGAATTTCGAGACGCAGATGCACAGCAGATCCATGGCGGAACGCGGGGGGTTGATCAACTACTCCCTGCTGATGTTGAAGGAGTGCGCCAGGAGGGGATGTTGGAGAGTTTTTGTATAGTTGCTTTTTGGTTGCTTCTCTGTTTTGAATATTTTTGAATGTCATCATATATATATATATATATATCTAGACCTGAGATACTTGGACGTGATTCCCGTGTCCAGGGTGATGCACAAGCAGATGAAGCAACTGGGCGAAAAGACGGAGGATCTGCACGTGCCCTTCCGCCGCTCCAGGCTGACCCACCTACTGCGAAGCTCCTTTACAGATCCATCACACCAGACCACGGTGGTGGCGACCCTGTCTCCCTCACCCACTGATGTGGAACACTCACTAAACACCTTGCAGCACGTGGCCTGGTTTTTTGCAGAATTTTTGGTGGAATCTCCCGGGAATCAGAATTTTTCGGACATGGAAATCCATCAGAAATGGGGGAAGAATGTTGGCATATGTGGGGTGTGCTTCTTTCTGCCTCAGGTTGGGATGATGCGCTCAGCCCGCGCCTGGGAGGATAACACGGTGAACGCGACGACCGTGGCTGAAGGTGAGACGAGTGGCGCGGCTGGCGGCTTCGACGTCGTGCAGGGACGTGGTAGGGCCTTGCACTCCAAGTTACAGGATGCGCGCAAGGGGCAGCTGAACTTACACGCCTTTCAGATGAAGACGCAGGTGGGGGATGACATGACAGGAGCTCGAACTCTAGAGAGTTGACCTTGGATCAGACTTATTTGAAACTCGAGTGTTCAGCAAGATCTGGCGGTCTATTCATAAACAAACAAGAATCGCACCTACAAGCAAACGCATGTCTCAGTTGCGCCCGGGACTAGTTTAGTACAGGAAGCGAGCACAGGAAGGCCCCGGCCGCAGTTAGAAGTTGATTCATAATCTCTTTCAACTACAGCATAGATATTTCCTCCACAATTCCAATCGTTAGCCTTGGCCTAGGCCTAATCGTAAGCCAACTATCTCTGGGCCCCTTCCTCCAGGTTTCATCCATATTTCCCACCATGTTTGCCCAGTCGCAGCTTCTAGTCTTACCTGGACCCTCTCTATTCAACAATTACTCACAAGTTTCTACGTTGAAAACCCCCAAACGGTAAAATGCTAGATATTGTATTATGTTTGTATTATTCATATATCAATGTATGACCATCCTGGAATATCCTCAAGGTTGTAGATGGAATATGATAGTTTCACTCATTTTCCCATGTTCGTCGGGGCGTTTCGGCATTTCCACATTTTATCCACATTCTAATGAATTCCATCATATACGTTTTTTTTTAAAATAGATGCGCACGATGTCATTTCTACTTTCAGCAGCAATGGAGGTGGGGGGCAGCATCATCAAGAAATACGAAGGCGACAGCGCCAAGCTGGAAACCTTCATTGATGCCCGATGGCATCGCGAATTGAAGGCGGTATGGGTGAACATAAGGCGGTTGACTCGAGACAAGTTATGGGATGGCGATTGGGATTCCCTCGTCAGCCTGCCAATAGTTGTAGCGATCATCGGACTTGCATTTGGGCAGTTCCTCAAAATGGGGGATCCCCAAAACCATAGGTTTTTATACTAAGATGGTCTAATTTTGGATGATTTGGGGGTACCCTCATGTTAGGAAACATCCATTTGCATTGAAGCACCTTTTCTTGGGCGAAACCTCAACCTCCCATCCACAGCGACGCAGGTGAAGGTGCAAGAGGACCGTTGGGACTGCCATTTTGGTCCATCCGGGTACCCTTTTGGTTTTTTGGTACCCAGCTTGTGTTATCCAAAAATTACCCAACCATTTTTGGTACCCAACCATTTTTATCATAGCCCCATCCCGTGGCCATTGAAGTAATTCTTTTTTCGTCGCAGAGCTCCAGCCCAAAAAGGTGGTAAAGGTCTCACCCATCTATGGACTATAGGTAGGTCGTGGTAGCTATAAACCCAAAGGCCCAAAGGTTCACCAAGTTATGTGCCTCAACTTCATAAAATTCACCGTTGGTTCCGTCGTGATCTCGTGCCAGGACCTTTGGGTGCTGCGCGACGCGGATATGGAGGCGACTCAGGTGCTCACCAGCTGGCGCCAAGAGCAGTGGACAGCCTCCAAGGCGCACGACCTCCACCGTTGGGACGCCAAGATGCTGCAGAACTTCCTGAAGTCCTTGGAGCTGCCAGGTGGGGGAAGGGGTTGGGGTTAATGGCTATGACTATGGCTATGGTAATAGCCTCCATGAGTTGGAATATAACCCCTATGGTTATATAACCTACTCATTAGTATCATTAGGTGGAACTGCACCAGGGGGAAGGGTTGGAAGGGGTTCGGGGGGGAAGTGGGAAGACCCGTTTTTTTTTTTGCAAGAAATCTTGCGGCTGGGAGGTCCTTTGGCCCATCATTTTTTTGCCCCTTCAACCCAGTTGTTTCAGCCCCAGGTGAGGTGCGGATTCCCTCCACCATGACGGGTGCCCAGCTGAAACGCCTGGGCCCTCGGGGTCTGGTGGCGCTCTGCAGCGACGCCGCCACAGCCGACGCCCTGCAACTGGCGCTGCACGGCGAGCGGCAGCGCGACGCGTTGGCGGCGGCGGCGCATCGCAGCCGCAACGCGCGGATGACGGCGTTGGGGAACCATAAGGCCTGCAGAGGTTGGTGGTTTTGTTCTTATTGATTTTTATTAGTTCTAAAATGTCCCGTCTAATTTTCCTTTTTGATTCTGAGAATGTTGATCTCTAGCGGTTTTGAAGGGAACTGCTTTTGCCTGAAAATGGGACGTACCTCAATCTGTGGCGATTCTGACGTGGACAATTATTTTCTATATGGGCATAAAGATAGGGATGTAACATGATTTAACTACCATCAATGAATGCTCGGATGACAATGCAGTTATAGAGTCTATGGTGAGGAGATAGATCCTAACTTATAACCCTTAACCCAAATATGATGGGATGCCAGTTGATACGCAGAGATTGCATAGATCCTAAATCCCAAAATCATCCCAGTAAATGATTCCAATGAGAGGATCAAAAGTCGCAGGGCCTTCGTTTTTGCGATTTTTCAGCATCGAAAACTTGGCATTGGCAATGCCAGAGGCGTTGCCAGTGGCACCCTCCTTATTACTTCTAGCTGGAAGAAATTCGCATCATTTTTCTGGCGTTCATGAACACTAAGGGCACTTCCGGGCACTTCTAAGTCGGGTGCTCCAAAAAACTTAGTCTTTCTGTGGCAGCCCTAAAACAAGTCTCAGTTTTTTTTCAATTTCTTTGGAATTCTTACCACCGAATCATCGAACCATCCAATGACTCAGGTCCACGCAGCGGTAGAGGAGCCCTCGGACTTTGTGGACGTGGACTTCGTCGTTGGAGAAGCAGCATCCGCTGCACCGTAGTTGCGGTGTAGTTGTTCGATTGCATCGCCGTTGAATCTGTGCACGAGGTCTCCGAAAAAGTACAAAAAAACACGAATGAATGATAGGAATCCTGAATTGAGAGCCAAGCCAGAATGAATACAATGAAATATTGAATCAGATTGAGTGCAAATGCAAATTGACACAAGTTTTACTTGACTCGCTTCAGTCATATAGCAGCCCCTCGTCTTAATGGCTGCCGGTGTTTTTCTGCGTGTACATACCACTGAAAGCATATCTGCTCCCAATGAGGATGACGATTTTGGATTGATAACTATGCCATGCAATGTAATCAGAAATTCCTTGTGGTCTGAATTCTTCCAACATATTTTAACCAGCCGTTTTTTTGTCCAGTTGCTTTCTGGTTGCAGTTGAACTGGAATTCGGGAAGCTTCGCAGAAGTGCAGTGCTTGAGGCATTTTCCATGCAAGGTCGTTTAGGTTGAAGCAACGGCGCCCGACTCGGACCCAGTCAGCGGTTCAAAATCTCTAGTGAGACGGGTCAATCCCAAAGTTTGGACGCAGACTTGGTTCAAGGGAAAACTTGGAAACAACTTGGAGATTTCCAGTTTACCGGAAGTTTACTGCAACATTTCTCGCAAAGCAATCACTTTTGACCAGCTAAAGGGCCTGAAAACGGGAGATTTGCAGGTTGGGATTCCATCCGCGTTGTCGGATTTTCAGATGTCCTTTCCCACCGGTTGATTCATTGAGGGTTAGCAGCTAGATGATCGAACCACCACGAATCGTGGAAAGGACTGGCTGAACTAGTTTTTTTGGTTGACATCTTGGGGACTACTTTCTGACATGATCGTGTTTTTTAACCAGGGCCCTTGTATGCCAAAACGACAATGTTTACTCTGAAACTCTGGCTGATTGGGTAGCGATTTCGGTCAGTGAACGTTTCGTTGGTTGATCTCCGTTCCCAGCGGGTTGACTTTAGGGGGGTGCTTAGTAACTAGAGGATTCACCCCCCTAAAAGACGATGTTCATCGACAAGGAGAAATTGTGCAGCTGACCATAGAGTGAATCATGCTTTCGACTCTCATCTTGCCTCAAGTTTTTACTGGGCGTGTTTCCTGAAAATGGGGGTGTAACATGGTGTAACTTGGTTTAACGTGTATAGCCTATCATGAATTGGCAATTTTACTACAGGATGGGCCCCACCAATTATAAGTTGGCTAATAAACCATTATAACCTTCATTAACTATAGTTATATCTACCATAAACCATAGAAATCAGCAACTTTTTTCAGGCAACTGAATGCTATCAAATGGGGGCCCATCCCGTAGGAACCACCTGGAAAATGACGTTTTCAAGCCAGGAGGAGGTGGACTGGCATGAGATTCGCCAGGCAGATCGGAGATTGGGATACCATGGGAATCCATGGGATACCCACAGATCTTTTGATTAATTTTGGAATATTGTGGGTGTATTATATATAGTTATGTATACATAGTTATTGTTAACTATATATAATTATATAATTATGTATATATATATGTCTAGTCAGTAGGGTACCAATGCTTCCGGAAAATTGGAAGACCGTTGAGCCTTGAAGCAACTGATCCACCCCCATATCCCACTGATCTTATGCAAGCTTGTTTTTTGCCCGCTCACTAGCCATTTACTACTGACTGGATTTGGTGATGATATATTCACATCTTTACTTTCTTGATGGATTGCAGTTTCAAGGGTTTTTCACCTGGTTACAAACCATTTGCCACGTCGACTTTTAAAGACAATCTGAGTAGCCCTCATCCCAGCTGTAAACGGTAATGTATTTTCATAGCTACACTACAAGAGTCAACCCCAACTGGGAGACTCGCTGGAAAAAACAATAGAGGTGTAACGCCTTGTATTTTTTGGCACCAACCAGTGGAAATTGGGGACATCTGTGGATCCGTGATTTTCCCACAAGCCAATGGTCGTTTCATGACCTCGTCATTGGGAAGGAGATCAGAAGGTTGTGGAGGCACCTTCTCATTGGGTTATCTGAAAATGGCGCTATTCCTGTTCAAGGTGAGCACCCCAAAAAATCGTTTCTGGTTGGTTCACGCATTTAACTTGGGTTTGTGGGATATAACTCTAATTGGATGGCCTTTACAAACCAACCCACAGAACGAACTCATCAGCTATAATTCCATATAAAGCCCATAATAAATTTCCATCTATGTCGGTGAAATCACCATTTTCCTATGGTTTTCCTATGGTTATCCTATGGTTTCGTGGGCCCGGGGGCCCCACTTTGTTGAACGTTTTCAACGTTCCAGGCGGAGTGGCTGCAACACATCCAGAACCAATACTTCAGCAGGCGGGTCCGGCCATGGCGGCCATGGCAGACAAGTTGACGAATGGGACTAGTCATCTATAAATATCAATAATAGAACTAGTGATGATGATGATGATGATGATGATGATGGTGGCGGTGGTGGTGATGGTGATGACGATGATGATGATTATGATTATGATTATGATGATGATGATGATGGTGATGCTGCTGATGGTGATAAAGATGCTGCTGATGATGATGATGGCGGTGATGATGTTGATGATACTGCTGCTGATGATGAAAATGATGATGATGATGATGACGATGATGGTGGCGGTGGTGGTGATGGTGATGACGATGATGTAAAAACTCCTGCAGTAAAACCATGTATTGTATATATCATCGATCTACCCGATAGCGTTGGTTCAAAAAGAGCTGAGAGCTTAGCGGTTTGTAGTGCATTTTACCCCATTGTCGGTTGACCTGGTAAAATACAGGTTATCAGCCGTAGTCTCACTACTTTGCTATGGGGACCCCAATTGACCATCCTCTCGCCGTTCCAGGGTCAGGTCCATCGGCTGTCGCTGTGCCTAATATGGCCGGGGGCAACCCCGAGCCGATGGATGACGAAACAATGTTCCAACCCGTTGTTGCGTACTTTACCTTCATACAAAACAACCTGTCCCAGATTACTAGTGGGAATACCCTGCAAGTCATGAGGGAAGCTGAACAGAGGCACCTTCAGATAATGCATGGAGTAGTTGACTCAATTCGAAACGAATGGTCAAGTAGACTCGTAATGCAGGAGCAGGAGTATGAGCAAAGGCTGCAGGAGGTTGAAGGTAATGCCATTAGTGCCCTCAACGAGGAGAGGAAACGAGGCGACGAGATGGAGGTCAGGTTGAATCAGGCTCAGGCATCGCATGACAAAAGAATAGAGGATGTAAAGGCAGAGGCAAACACAAAGCACGATCAGAAAATTGCAGAGGAAAGGAAACGTATCACTAGTGAATTCGAAGCTTCCTATGCACAGACAGTTGAACATGCAAAGAATGCCATAGCTGCCACAAAGAAGCAATATGAAGATCAGGCTGCAATTGATCAGGCCAGGTTCATCAGTTTGAGGACTGAGTTTGAGAACTACAAGAAGGAGATGGCCGACAAGATCAACGAGGCAGCGGCTCAGAACCTTAGCCTTCAGGACCAAATCGATGATCTTCAGGAGCAGTTAAAGCATGTTGCCAAAGCGCAGCATGTCTCCGTTCCGAAAGCATCCGTCCAGAACGCCGAGCCGGCCGCTACCACTAGCGTGCCCCACTTCAATATTGCCACTCCCAAAGCATCCGATGCACAGGCTGCCAGAGGCAGTGATGAGCCGATTCTTGAGTTTAAGACGCCTGCAGTGTTGGCGCAGGAAGCAAAGGCCAAGTTGGATGAGCTGCTCAAAGGTGGCAGTCCCAAGCAAAAGCCGGCTGTCGGCAACGACCAGCCCCAATTGCCAACGCAGTCAGGGTTTTTCACTCCCACTGAAGCTATCAAAACTCCCCCAAATGAATCTCCTAAGAGCGCAACCAAGCAACAGCAAGTCATGGGTCCCTCAGATCTTATTGAATTGGTGAAAGCCTTAACCCAAAGGGAAGAAAAGGATAAGCCAAAAACTAAGGAGGCTGAACTCATCAAGCTGAACAGCATGCCCGCTCCGGAGTCTATAGAACTTGGAAGAATCATGTCAGGGATGAAGTGAAAAGCTGTTCAGATCGCCCGGATGAGGCGTGGCTCTGGCTCAATGAGGTGTACGATCAAGAGTGCACCAGAGAGCAGTTGGAGAAGAAACTCCAAGATCCTGGAAAGTTCCTCACGCTGGATACAAAGTTATCAGCAGCGCTCACGCGCTCAGCCGGAGGGGACCTCGCAACTAGGATCTTGAATTTCAAGGAGCAGCAATCCCGAAAAGGCATCCAGGTCAGGGGAAGATATGTTCTGCTTATGTTTGAGGACTACTTCAAGACATCAGAAGAAGCAGGTAGCCTTTACAGAGTAGAAGATCTTTTGGGTGTTGTCAAAGTAGGCGATACTGTCCAGGATCTCCGAAGATTCATCAACAAATGGGATGCTACCCTAGCTGGCATGGCGGTCACCCCTGATGATGCTGTGTTAAGGGACATCTTGTTGAGGCAGATCCGACCAAGTCAGCTGCTGAAATATGACATCGAGGTGTTTGACCGTGCTCATGAGAAATCCCATGAAAAGTCTTACAGTTTTCTTCACCAATCCATGAAGAACTTGATCGATCGTGAACGATTGAGGGAGAACAGGAACCGCATTGCGGAGAAGAACAAGGCTGGGATTAAGGACACAAAGGCCGCACCTGCCAAAGGCGATGGTCGCGGCGGCCGAAAGGGCTCTCCAAGTCGCGGTAGATCGCAGGAACGAGGTGGCAAAGGTGACAAGATTTGCTATAAGTTCCAAAAGGGTACCTGTGATAAGGGGAAGAAGTGTCCATTCAAGCATGTCAAAGATGATAAATCTCGAACTCAATCACCCAGAAGAACCAAAACACGTTCACCATCAAGGGGCAATAAGGATGATAAGGGGAAGAAGATGTCTAAAGAAGAAATGGCTAAAACCCCATGCATCTATCATGCCCAGGGAAAGTGCAGACGTGGTGACAAATGTTTTTATAAACATGATGACAAAGCCGCTGCCGCCACCAAAGACACCAAAAGGGCCAATTCACCCGCTCCCAAGAAGAAGGGCAAGGATTCTACAGCCGCTCCATGTCTGATCCAGAAGTTCGCATGCATCGTCCGAAAACAGCCGAAGGCAACTTCGTGCTCTGATGAGGCAAGTGTCAGCATGAAGCGTCTTAGATTCCGAAAGGCCCCACATGTGATCGAGGTGAAGGCAGTCGGTCGTCAAGTCCCAGTCGAGCACCGTCCAAGAGAGTTCACTAAGGTGTACAAGACAGCTGAAGATGTTCCAGTTTCATCAAAGGTTGAACAGCATGAAGCTCAGGTTCGT